AGAAAGTCTCCATAGAGACGACTGTGTTCTGAAAATGAGGTAATGCCTAATTTACTGCCATCTGCAAAACGCAGGTGGTCAGAAACCGAAACTACTGTATTTAAAGTATGCGGTAACAGAGAAGCATACCAGAAGACAAGAAACATTGACACTATGCTAATGGTTATCTTTATGGGTTTATTAAAATGAACTATAATCAATCCTGAAGACCCAGCTAGCACTAGTAACCTACAGAGACTGAGTTGAGCCGTGACATAAGGTGAGGGTTTTTTCCAAGCCACCTGGTTACACCAGAAAGTCCACAAAATAAACATTTAGTACTCACCTCACTGCTACTTCCTCCTCTGCTATACAGCACACTTCTCACCTCCCCTGTGCTGTCATGTACGGAATTTTCTTAGGTTAAAAGAGCAGTGGACTTCTTGAAATGGTCACTGAGTTCATTAGGGCTGGCTTTTTTGGTGGTTGGTTTTTTTGCCCTCCTAACCCCAAGTGATTTAACTTCTAGCAGCCAACTGATGAGGTTATGTTTTCATTGATTCAGTGTATGTATTTCAGATGTTTCCATTAACAACTTCAAGTATTGGGTATCTCCCTAAACTCCAGGCTTAATGCTAAATGGTGAAAACATTCACCAACTAGACTTTTGGCCTGTGGCCACACGTTGATCTGTTGACATAATTAGACATTAAACTCCAGAAACAAGGGACAAGTACTACAAAGAGAAATAGAAAGTATTAGTAGAAAGAAAATGTTTTGAAAATGATAATGGCAACATGTACAAATGTGTTTGATACAGTTGATGTATGGATTGTTGTAAGAGCCCCCAATAAAATGACATAGAATGTATTGAAAGAGTCTACCCTAGATTTGAGAAGATAGCTCAAGATAGGCTATCAGGGGAAATAATGTCTAAAGTAGACCAGAAAAAAAAAGTAAAAATTACCCAAGAAGATGTATGAAGGTATTTTGGGTAGGTGGAACATCCTGTACAAAAGGCTATTGAGTAAACAAATCCGGTGCACTGGCGGTGCTGAAAGAACTTCAGGGTGCCTGAATCACTTGGTGCAGAGGGGAGTTGTCAGTGCTGTGGTAAACATGTGCCAAGTCAGTGACCCTGTGTACAAACAGAATGTAACCCTGCCTGGTCCTTTGGGATCCTCACAATCACGGTTATGCTTGAACTCCGTGTTGCAGCCAGTATTCCTTACCAACACCATGATTCACAGACATTGATTTATTGGCCTGCCTTATTCCGTATACAGGTTTCATGTGCAGATGAGATGATTAAAATACATGACCTGGATGAGGCACACCTTAATCCTCAAAAGTGACATCTATGCTTTCTAACACTTTAAAGAAGCCCTTTTGTAGCAGATTTACAGAGGCGAGTAGGGAGAAATAACATCAGACAGTGGGCCCAGATCACCAAGTGCCTGTTATGCCATGTGAAGGACTGGACTTCAGCGAAGAGTAATGAAAACTCCTGAGGAGTTTGCGCTCAAATAATTCATACAATCTTAATGACAGGCAGTTTTAGTTCCATGTAGGAAAAACTACACTAGAAATATGCCTGGAGTACCAGTAAGAGTTGTATTATATAAAATCATAGATACTCATTCAGTGGGTGTCATAAGAAAGAAGATGAGAAATGCTAGAATTCAAGCAAACTAAGTTGCCAGTTACTCTGACCTAGAGGTATGATTCCTAAAGAAACTGCTATCAACAGTAAGTTCTTTAACATAAATGTCGACAAGCAGCAAAACCTTTTCTGGGCTTTCATTGGTTCAAGACCGGGCGCTGTCCACATTACATAATGAATTGTTTGGCCTCTGCACCTCATCACTGTTCTGTTTGGATAACATTTTCACTCATGCCTTCCATAATTGTTTCCTGCCCTAATTTCTAAGCATAGGTCAGCACACGTTTTTTCACTATTTTCATTGTATAGCAGTTCACATTTTTCAAAGCACTTTGCCCTATAGGGTTGCTGTAAGCCCGAATTCATAGCAGTGGGTTTGGCGTTTCTTTGTTTTGTTTGTGGCACTAGCAAAATTAGTACTCCACCTTCTGCTAAGACACATGGCAAATCAGGGGTCCTCAGACTTTCTAAACAGGGTGCCAGTTCACTGTCCCTCAGACCTGTTGGAGGGCCGGACTATAGTTTTAAAAAAACTGAACAAATTCCTATGCACACTGCACATATCTTATTTTGATTTAAAAAAACAAACGGGGCAAAAAAACCCGGCGGGTCGGATAAATGTCCTAGGCGGGCCCGCAGTATGAGGATGCCTGACATAAATGATGGACCCATTTAACAGATCAGGAACGGAGTACCAACCATACCTAATTTGACTAGGATCTCATAATTATTAAGTGGTGGGGCTGTAAGTTGAGCTCAGACAATGATCCTGTGTTGTATTCTGTTCCCTAACTACTCTTGACCACCTCCTTGTAGACATCTCTGTTTAGTTCATGCATCCCTCTCTAACCTGATATTTGCAGTCATGTTTTGACGTACTATCAAGTCATTTAAGTTGTATTGGCCCATCAGATGTCAGCTTACCTATTCTTGTATAGTGTGATAAGTAGCTTTGTGGGATTTCTTTTTTTTGGAGGGGTGGGGGGGATTCTTAATATTTCCTAAATAGTGTCTTTTTATTGCTACCAAATGTGAGTTGGTAGGATTGTGATCACTTGTGTGATGAATATAGTAGCAGTTTCACTAGAGCGAAAACCTAACCTGTGAACTTGTGATACCAATGAAATGCAAAGCGTAGCCTTAATCTCTTTGCTACCAACCATTTTTCCACTACCATATATACTCGAGTATAAGCCGACCCGAATATCAGCCAAAGCACCTAATTTTACCACACAAACAGCATAAAAAAATGTGCTGAAAAACTCGGTTATACATGAGTATATATGGTGTACAGTTTCTAACCAATCACTATTAAAATCCCTATTTTAAATATCATCTATATATTCACCACCCTGATTATTGCCGTTTTCTACAATAGCCAAGTTACTCCCTTTCAGTTCTTGACCATTTTGATTGCTGGTTCACTGTCGTTCTACAATGCTCTCCTCTCGTAAGTCTTGGCAGTTTCAACATACACGTTGATCAATCATTTTCAGAGTGTGGTTCCTGGACCTCAGGAGCATTGACATCCCAGGGAAACTTCCAGAAATGAACATTCTCAGGCTCTACCCCAGACCCCTGGACTCTCTCGGAGTGAAATCCTGCAATTTGTATGTACTCAACTACTACATGAGTTTGAGAGGAGCCTTGATAAGTTGTTAGATTGCTAACTGCATGATCAGCGGGTCAGGTCTACCAGCGACTCCCTGGGAGAAAGTTGAGGCTTAACTACCCTGATAAAAGGTTGCTAAGAATTGGAATTGGGTGTATCATTCCAATGCAGGCTGAAATTTGAGAGCCATGAACGTCGATCCCTTGCACACCTTAGCCTTGCAGCTCTTAACTTGACCTTCGTTGGACACTCATTCTCCTCACTACAATAAATCGCCTAGTTTCAATGTCATACATCCCAGAATGTCAATTTCTTATCTCCCTCCAGACCAACAATTCTCTTTTTTTTAATTATTTTATTGGGAGCTTGTACAATTCTCATCACAATCCAACATAAATCCATTGTGTCAAGCACATGTGCACATTTGTTGCCCTCATCATTCTCAAAACATCTGTCTCCCACTCTAGCCCCTAATATCAGTTGCTCATTTTCCCCCTCTCTCCACACTCCCCCCTCCCTCATGAACCCTTCATAGATCATAAATTATTATAGTTTTGTCATAAGTTACTCTGTCCGATGTTTCCCTCCGCCCTCTTTTCTGCTGTCCATCCCCCAGGGAGGAGGCAATACTTAGATTCTTGTAATTGGTTCCCTCTTTCTACCCCACATTCCCTTCACCCTCCAGGCATCGCCACTCACCACTGGTCCTGAAGAAGTCATCTATCCTGGATTCCCTGTGTTTCAAGTTCCTATCTGTACCAATGTACATCCTCCGGTCCAGCCTGATTTGTAAGGTAGAATTGGGATCATGATAGTGGGGGGGAGGAAGCATTAAAG